TAGGTACATTGGTTAGTTCACTAGTAATTTGAGCAAAAAAGGAATGAAAGCTTATAGGATAAATAGAGATGTGCCAAGATATTTCATGGTTATCATTGTTAAGATTTACCACATTAGCTTTAACAGTAAGCAGTAGCTCTTAATATTCTGAATTATCTTTCTGGTTGGGCTATTGAGAACCAATTTGGGAGATCATCTGAAATTTATCTTTTAGTATGCTGAGTACAAAATATCTTAAGGACAGCCATATCCAGATACAGCTGTTGGATATACAGGTCTGGAATGAGAGTTAGGTTAGAAGTGTGGGTTGACTACACAAAAGTTGTTAGTGAAGCTCAGCACATTTCAGAGATAACCTAGACAGAGGTTATAAAGAGAAGAGTTTTAGAATGAGTAATGAATTAATCTTGAAATTGGGACAGCATATTCAGAGCAAGTTTTTTAGAGAGATTAAAACTGGAAAGAGATGAAACCAACAGGAACAATTCAAATCACCACATACAGGGAAAATACAAGACAAAAGAATAAGATAAATCCTCTAAAAAGACTACAGGAAATGGGATTCAAAAAAAAACTGGAATAATTTGCCTAAAAGGAAGGGCAATTTGACTATTTTAACTAACATAGCAAGGAGAAGTTTGTCAAAATGAAGACAAAGACCCATAGTGTCCTAGAGGACCTTGGGCAGATGATCTGAATATGAATGACGATAGATGATTTAGCACTGACCTCCATTTTTTAAAGTACTTTGAGAGAGGTGGGCTGCTCTTATCTATGTTTCCTGTTTACACTTACAAGCAGAAGTCTATCATCATCTCCACAAAGCTGTCATCTTGCTCTTCTGCCAGTACTCACCTACCAGAGCACAAGTTTTCAATCAAGTGGAATTTTGCCCCCAGCACCCATTTGGCAATGTACAGAGACATTGTTGATGGTGAAAGCCAGGTGTGCTTACACACATCTAGAGGGTAGAGGCAAGGATGTTGCTAAACATCTTATCATGCAGAGGAAAGCACCCTGCAATAATATCCAGGCCAAAATGTCAACAGCACTCAGATGAGAAGGCCTGTACTGGAGAATAAATTTCCTTTGCCTTTCAGTCTTGGGACTTGACCTGCTCAAGTATCGAGGGATTCAACTTTCATAGATATGAAGGGTAGGGAACCACTAAAGAATACCGCTTAAAAGAGAAAAGTCAGCAGGGCATGATGGTGTACATGGCAATCCCATGTTCCTGAGAGCAGAGTACTGAGTTCAAGTCCAGCCTGGGCAAAGTTAGCCAGACATTGTCTCAAAAAAACGTACACACAAAAAGGCCGGGCCAAGGCTCAAGTGGTATAAAACTTCCCTTCACTGTTCAACCCCACTACAAAAATGATGTCAAGCTAACAAAGTTCAGATGGCCATCAACAGAAGGTCCTTCTAAGACTGATGGTTACATAAATGCAATGAAAAGTATAATTTAAATCATAAAGTTCTGATTAAAAAATCTTCAGAATCCCGAAAGACAATGGTTTCTGAATTCCACCATTCAAAAAGGAAAACGATGGACACTTGCAACACTATATGGAATTATAGAAGACTAAATGGGGAGAAGCAAGCTACAACAAATGACACATGAGACTCCTGAGCAGAGACGATCATGAGGAACGAATAGGAATTCTAGAAGGAAAAAAATAGATGAACAAGCATTGATCCAAAAGGTGAAACAGCAATTTCCTGAACAACAAAATTTGGCTAGATATGAATCAAAGGGACTAGTTTTTTAAAAATCAAATGGAAATAGTTGAAAAATAAAACTCTACTGGGTGTTCTGTTTAGTAAATTGTTCTTAATTTGCTTCCCTAGTTGGATCCAATTTTATTTTCTTTGATCTTACTATTATGACAATAGACACAAGTTACAGAAAATTAATTTATCATAGTAAGAATAGACAGAATGAGACAAAGAACATACAATGTGTATTTTCTCAAACAGATAACGGATATTATCACAATTGTGTAAAAATTCCAGCCTCTTTCATTTGGACATATTAACTGCAAAAGCTATTTCAAAGAGAAATGATAGGAGACTGTTTTGTGAAGACATAAGATTCTGCAAAATCAAACGATTCAGTCCACTTAAAATGCACTGGGTCGGGGGCGGGGGGGTGGGGAAGGTGAGCTTTTCAATTTCTGTATCTTTGCTTCCTTGGGCCCCTTGAAAATCAGTGTACTTTAGATGGTAGTTTTTCACTTCTACAAAAAGAGCTGAAAAATGACCACTTGAGATGCTTAAAAATGTGGACCCTAGAAGACATGCAAAACTCATCATTTGTAGTGATTAAATACCTTTCAGCTCAGGATCAGTAGTGATGAGCAAGGTGAGTCTGTATTTCTGCACTTCAGTAAGGTTCAGATGTATATGGTCCACGCTGATATAAAATGCTGCTAATACCAAATGCTTAAAGTAAAAGAAATGGTAAAGCTATAAATGTCTAAACTCATGTTTGTATGTCTGCTGAAAGCAGAGTAAAGTGGCATGAAAAATCCTTAAAATTCTCCATCCAAGGAAAACTAAATGGCATTCATATGGCAGTAAGAGAAAAATGTCAAAGGACATTAAGCTACCACTGCCAAATCTCACCTCTTTACAATCCATCTAAACTGAGAGCACATGGTCAGAGGAGATCAAATCAGGCTGCTTGTTTGAATTAGCAACTGACTGTTCCCACTTCCCGGGCAAGCCTGACCCTCTAATTCCTCCTCATCTCTTCAGGCTCCATTAGAATGTGCAGGGGTCCTGGAGGGGCACAGCAACTCCCATAGCTTGAGTGGGGTTGAGTCTGGGTAAAAATCCACGCCAGACCCCACCAGGCACACTAGGCCTAAGACTGGGGGAGGGGGTGTGCACTTTAAAGAACAGCTCAGGAGAAGAGGCCCTGCCAGCCAGACATCATCAGCATGCAGGCCTCTCCTCCCACCTGAGCAACATGTCAGGAGTGAGGACTAGCGGGCAACCCTCTCCCAGGTTCCTCTTGGGAGCCAGTACATGGGCGGCCAGGGCCTCCAGGTCTCCCATGGCCCTGTGCACAGTGCAGGGGAGTCCGGAGCTTCCCTGTGTCTCCCTGCCCACCTCGGAGTGGCCTGTTTGTGCAGGCGCAATGGATGGAAGTTTGCACTCTCAGGGTGTCAAGCTCTGCAGGTGTCAGAGCCTTGGGTCCAGACTGTATGTTTAAAGGTTTACTACCTTTTGTAAAAAACTAGGCTAAAATGAATTTTTATTAAATGTTAGATCTACAATTCACAAATTCTTTACAAAACAGTTGCCAACTGTGTACAATTTTTTAAGGTTTTGATACAGATTTGGAAATTTTGCTGTGAAATATAATCTACAAAATACTTCTTTTAGAAAGCATCAGAATGGTAATTTTAGGCAAAATAATGTTTAAAATTGAAATGTTTTCATGAAAGTGAGCTCTGAAACAAAGTTATTCTTTATCCCAGTGACAAAGAAATGGGAAAAACAAACATTAAATCAGTAAAGCTGATTTACGGAGAAAACAGTAAATGTTGTATAAACTTCTGAAATTCACCTGAAATTTTTATCACTTCCAGAAGCAGTACCATTACAAGGTATCAACAACCATGAGAATTTTTCATGATACTACTGCATCACCAGCACTGATAACAATTCTGCAGTAAAATTTAAAACATCATCACAAAGAAGCACCTCTTATTGCAAGATGTCTTACTACACTGAAGGCTTACTGCAAAGGCTTATTGCAGGAAATAGCCTCTTCACATAAAAGAATGTCATTCATTTAGGAACTAAATATTCTTTAGTAGTGTTGCTGTTGGAAAAAAAAAGATACAAGTTCAAAATATGATGGCAACATATGAAAGTGGCCAATAGTTTGGGTCTTGACATCCTGTGGTTTAACAAAGACTAGCTTTGAATCTCTGATTCAAAAGCATCTTCATGTTTCCAAAAGGAAAAATGGCCCAAATGATTCCATCCAAACAGCAGAAATCCAACCACCAACTTGAAAGGGATATGGTTTGACAAAGGAGAAAATAGTAACCAGCTTACCTAAAAGGTGGGAAGCAAAAATCAACTCAAAGTACTTGGAATCATAAGGAATTTTAAAACTCAAGTGTTTTGAATTTTCTCCCTGAGCTCTGAGCACTTCTTAACACATAGTCTCTGGTGAAAAAGATGCATTCCATTATTCCAAGCTGTACCTATAAATGCTGATTCCTACTGCTGAAAATAGGCCAGTTATGTCTTGAACAGCACAAAGTGATGGCAATTACATGTTTTGTGGAAATCTTTGGTGAGATGGAGTCTTGCAGAAGCCTTCTTATTTTGTTTCCCTCCTTGTTATACTGCCGCATCTTTAAGTTATTTTCAGAGCAGAAACTACAAGACCATAATAAAGGACAAGAAGGCCATTCTGTATTGCTGTATCATGTATTGCATGTCAATTTCCCCTAGGGTTTGGTACCACTTTAGCAGGTGGTCACCACAGATGATATTTAACTGACAGGCTGGATCAAGGCATATGTTACAACATAGATAGCCTTGAGGACATTATGCTAAGTGAAAAAAACCACGTGCATAACAAAACACTGTAGAATACCATTATTGTGAGATACTTCAAGAGTCAAAATCTTAGGGAGAAAGAGACTGGTAGCTGCCAGAACTGGAGGAAGGAGAATGGTGAGTTGTTTAATGAGTAGAGTTTCTGTTTTACTACATGAAAAAAGTTAAGGAGATTGAAGGGGGTAATGGTTGTAGAACATTATGAATGTATTTATTACCGCTGAATATATAACTTAAAATGATTATTGAATTTTACATTATGTGCATGGTGCTACAATAAAAAAATACGGAAAAAGAGGAAACAAGTTAGTCCAATAAAAGTGCCAATATTATTTCCTTTAATTTAATAGAAGAGCACTAAAGAAGATATGAGTGACAAGGTCTATTTCTTGTCATAACAAAATACTATAGACTGAATGGTTTTAAGACCAGAAATTTATTTCTCACAGTTCTTGGGAATAGAAGATACCAGCATAGTTGACTTTTGGTAAGAGCTCTGTTTCTGACTTGTAGACAACCATCTTCTCACTGTTTTTCCATGGTGTGGGAGAGAAAAGAGAAAGAGATGTTAAAGTTCAAATGTTAGGAATTTGGAGGACATAATCTAGCACATAGCAATGTTTTCATCTGAACTTTTCCCTAATAATCAAGTAGGAGAGACAGGAAAAGGTGATGGTATGCCAGTGGTACCAATATTTATGCAAGTTACTGAGACAAAATTATTTTCTTAATTCTACTTTAACTATCTAAATCAATAATGAAATGTCTGCATAAGAAAGCAAGTTTGTATTTGGTGCTCTTACCACACTCAGTCTCTCCTCTGCCATACAGCTGACTCTAGAACCCTTAGTCCCTGTTGGCATGATGTTATCAACGGTCAGAAAGGAGGTTTGCGTCAGCTCCTTTGGTTGATAGTAAATGCCTGTCATTTTAAGAAGCCAGGCCCTTGTCCCTCAACAGGCTGGAAACAGCAGTCAGAACTGCTTAATGGCTCTCTATCTGATGGCTGGCCCCTACTTATTCACACCTCTGTGATAGATAACCAGGCTGTAAATTTGTTCCCTTTGGACTAATACTTTCCAGTCCTTGTTCACAATGATCTCCATTCTCAGTCACTGTCACTGTGAGTAATTTCACTCCTGATTCTGGAACTCTGTATCACCTAATACCACAAAGTTTCTTTGCCACCACAAAGTTCAGGATATCCAGACAGTGACAGCAAACATTTGCTCCACTGCCTTGTGCTGCTCTCTCTTGATTAACTGGAAAGTGTTTCAGGCCTTTGACCCAAGGGAGGTACTGCAATGGAAGGAGGTTGCATGGGTCACAAAATTTAAGGATGTGCACAAAAATTAAGTAAATAAAGTATTTCAAAGCAATATGTTAAGAAGCCAAAATGTATAAACATATGATGAACAAAACAAAGCATCCAAATGCATTCAATAGGACGCCTAACTTATATATACCTAGGCCTTGAAATACATTTTTCCATTAAAGGGAGAGTTCTAATATTTCTAATAGAAAAAAAAATCATGCTACCAGAATGACAACTTTTTCCACCATTCATGTAGTTGAAAAAATACTCAATAAAGTTTAGGAAAACCAACAACAAAAATGAGAAGATCCAAGTAGAAAGGATGTAAGTTAAATCATAAAAAAACAAGGAAATTAAGAGAATAAAGAAACATTGATTTTAAAAAATGAACATCTTCAGAGTCAAGAAGCTAAAGATAGGTGGGTGTCAATATATACACAAATCATGGGAGACAATAAGAACTCTAACAAGAATGTTACCAGTATAAACATTGATAAAGCAGGAAGGAAAAAGAAAGTCTGAATGTTATGAAAGCACAGTGATGCAGCAGGTCATGTTAGAAGTAAGTTTTCTAACCTTGTGTAGCAAGGACTCAAAATGTACTTAAAGTCTGTTAACAAAATATAGTTTAAACATAGTCTTCAGAATTGTAAAAATAACCACCACCAGATGAACAAAAGTAAATACAACTTAAAAGTAGGTGGATCAAAAAATATCAATGATTCCTCTTATCTTTCAATGGATACTGATTTCTGTGGTTTCAATGTGTCTCCCAAAATCATATTTTAATCCCTCCTAAAGCAACAGCATTGGGAGGTAGACACTAAAGGGACGTGTTCAGGTCACATTTATGAATGGATTAATGTCTTTACACTAAAAATGGGTTTATACCTCAGGAGTGTCCTGGCTTTTTGTTTTTTAGTTTTTATTTGTTTATCTGTTTTTAAGACTACTGGGGGATGAACTTCAGGGCCTTGTGTGCACAAGTGATCTGCTACTTACATCACAACCACTGCCCTTTTAACACTAAGTACTTTGCAAACAGGGCCTTGCATTTATGCCAGGGCTGGCCTGGACCGGAGTCCACCTATTCATACTTCCTGCAAAGGTGGCGTGACAGCTACATGCACTGAACCCAGTTACTGGTTGAGTAACTTTCAGATGAAACTTTGCCAGGGGAAGCCTGAAACCAAAGCCTCCTGAACTCAGCCTTCAGAGCAGCTGGAACCATGCGCTGTGCCCAGCTAAGCATTTGACTTATTATAAAATTGACTTTGGCCCCCTTTTATACTCTCCTAGTTACTAAATTACCTTTCTGTCTTTCACAACAGGATGGCACAGCAAAAAGACTGTCACCACATGTGACCCCTCAAACTTGTACATACCAACCTCCAGAACCATAAACCAAATAAATTTCTATTGTATATAAATTACTCAGGATCTTTATTGTGTTATAGCAGTACAAATTTACTTTCATTTTGTATCACTCTATACTGTCTGACTTTTCAAACATGTGTATATTTTAATTTTATCCCAGAAAGAAGAAAAAAGAGAGAAAAACCCAAACCCCAAAGTTCGTGCAGCTGCAGGTCCTGGCATCCTTACATTCCACAACTGCAAGCAACTTTCTTATGGTCATGATCAGATGCTACTGAGACAGGAAAGAATAAAAGAGGGTGACACAGTAAGTTTCTGCTCTCATTTTCACATTTTCTGGAGTCTTTTGTTCTTTGTGTTAATGGCACAATCTTTTGAAACACTAACTTTCACTATTTTAATCCATGATATCTAGAATCTCTGAAGTTTTCCTAAATTTTGGATCTGTTATCTCTTGACAAGAGTAATCTTGATTCACTGGAATTTCTGGATCATTAAATGATTTTTAAAAAACTTTTTAAAAGAACTCTTGACTTTTCTCAATTACTGACCATCTGGCTTCAACCTGCCCTGCCTAGGTAGAAATGAAAAGTCTATGAAAGCATTATGACAAGTACTATTACCAGAATAAGGAAAATCTGATACATTATTAACATAGTGCTGAAAGAGTAGGGTTATGGATATCATTCCATTTCCTTCATGTTTGCCGGGAGAAGAGTGGATTTCCCTCTGACTCCTAGAGAGAACATACCTGCAGGCATTTGGAAGTATACGTTTTCCTACTTTAACCACCATCTTGCATTTGAATTGCTAAAAGCATGATACATTAGACACATGAAAATAAAGAAACCTGCACGTATAAAATTTTCTTTAAAAAAGTGTCGCGAATGTCACTCATTGAGAAAGCTGGAGATAAATGTGGAATTTCTCAGATGAATCATCAACACAAACACCAAAACACACACAGAAACACAAACACACATGCTAAACATGTGGAAAAACAATTGTCCAGGGCAGTTTGTGCATAGTCAACATAGATCCATGGGCACTTGACACCATGGAACTGAAAGCCAACTGTGTCCTTACTGTCTACAACACAGGTATCACTAAGTTACCTGCCACAGACAACCACTGTCTCAACAAAGATCACACTATACAGTTAATTCTGGGACTGATTATAATTTTCCTTCTGATAATTTCAATAGCAGACTGCAGTTTATTCTATGACCCTTGTAGAGTTTAAGTAATTAGATTTGAATTAGCCTAATTTAAAAGGTTGAAGAAGTCATATGTCTTCCTGGGAAAGACAGCCCAGAATACAGATGCAGTTATGGGAATCCTAGCAGATGATTAAGATCTTCTGGCTGAGACCAAGCCAACTATATCAATTGAGGAATGAAAAGAATTTGAAGATTTTCATTGGCAAGGGAATTTATTTTGGGGGAAGTTGAAAAATGAGGGGTTATACATTATTTCAATTTGGAACATATTTGTTATTGCCAGTGTTTGTATTCATTTCATAGAACCTTGTGAGCAATTTGGGGCAACATAGTGGGCATCATTAGAAATAAAATAGGAAATGAATTTTCTGCTTAATGTACTGATGGGGTCCACCCTAACAAGAACAGGTAGAAGACTTATGGATATGTGGACATTAGATCAAGGGCAAACACAACAATGGGATTGGACTATGAGCACATGATAAAAGCAAGAGCACACAAGGAAGGGGTGAGGATAAGGTAAGACACCTAAAAAATTAGCAAGCATTTGTTGCCCTTAACGCAGAGAAACTAAAGCAGATACCTTAAAAGCAACTGAGGCCAATAGGAAAAGGGGAACAGGAACTAGAAAAGGTTAGATCAAAAAGAATTAACCTAGAAGGTAACACCCACGCACAGGAAATCAATGTGAGTCAACTCCCTGTATAGCTATCCTTATCTCAACCAGCAAAAACCCTTGTTCCTTCCTATTATTGCTTATACTCTCTCTACAACAAAATTAGAAATAAGGGCAAAATAGTTTCTGCTGGGTATTGAGGGGTTGGGGGGGGAGAGGGAGGGGGTGGAGTGGGTGGTAAGGGAGCGGGTGGGGGCAGGGGGGAGAAATGAACCAAGCCTTGTATGCACATATGAATAATAAAAGAAAAAATAAAAGAAAAGAAAAAAGAAAAAAAAGGTAAAACACCCTCACAGTCCCAGAGACACTTGAATCAAAAGTAGATTTTAGTTTAAAACCACAATAGTCCTGTGTAAATATGCTTTCCTACTGTTCTGAACTGCTTGTGAAGTCCAATGTATGGTGATATTATTTCTCAATACTCCTTCATATGTGTGCTGCCTTCATGATTTTTCTACGCTAATACTAATACCGTATTTTTTCTTTAAATACCGAGCGGGTCCTATGAAATCTTTGGCGTAATCCTTTGTTCAGGATACATAATGTGTTAAAGTGCATATTTTTCTGAATACACATAAAAATAACTGTTAAAAGTGTATCAGCATGTTACCTAAAATGAACTTACATAATTTGTGCCAGTATAACACATACTGTAATATGCTGAAAGAAAAAGCTGCCAAGTGTTGGGGAGGATGCTTGCTCTTCCACCCTTCAATACTGATGACAGATAACAGCACTAGAGGAATTTGGGCCTCTCCACCTTCTCTCTCACTCTATCCCAACCACAAAGATGTCTTTCTAAGACTTGGCAGACCTCCAATACAGTGCTAATTCTGCACTTGACATTCAGCATCTAGGACTTACTTCCAGGTAGTTAGACTGGAGAAGGGAGACTGAAGATGTCAGGCTGATTGCTACTTTAAGGAATAGTAAACCTGAT